CTAATATTCAGTACATAATACATATTTGTCAAAATGTTTTTATTTTTTCTAGACAGTCATTTAATCAAAAGTAGGACTTTATAATATAAAATTGAATAGCCTTGATGGAATGAATATGTGAATATTTAATATGATCTTGAAATATGAGATACGTCGTGAGACCATTCATTTTTTTAAACTTTATTCAGCAGTAGATCTTTTTCTTTTTCCAAATAAAATTCTTCCTGGAAGTCTAGGTAGACAGATAATTCTCAAGTATATAAAGCAAACAAAAGGGAAGTTTCTTCGTTGAATCATAAACCCACAAGCCTGCAGTTAGTGGGCATCTGTTATGTGCCAGCTACACTTCTAAAATTGTAGCAACCCTATGGTGGCTCTGGGGTTCTCCGTAGAACCATAAAGTGCAATAAACATAGTTTAAAACCCACTCCTTTGGAACTGTAAGCCACTCAGGACAAGAACCTTAGGATGCATATCTTAACCAAATACCTAGTATAGTATTGGCCACTCAGTGAGTATTGATTAAATATTGTTAGGATTGGGTGACACAAAAGGATCTAAGGAAATTTTAGAGTAACCCCATATGCTAGCAAGTGGCTGTCGCCTCCTGCTATCCTGAGTGTTTCTCGGGATGCACAACTACAGTCCATCTCCGAATGGCCTCAGGGCTCCAGGGACCCCTTCCTGAAATTTACCAAAAAATCTGACCAACTCTCCAAGGAATAATATTCACTGCCCCAAAGATCTCCAAAGTTTTCTCGGTTAAAGTCTGTGATTGAGAATTTGCCCAGGCGCCAGGAATTGTGGCATGAGCTGACACTGACACAGGCACTTTCCCCATTGTTTTCAGTTTTCAGTTTCAAGTTAGATTATCAAGTAAGGGGACAGCAAGTAAAGGGAAAGTAAGCAAGGGCATCAGAGATGAGCTACACCAGGACACAGCTTGTGTGTTACCTCCCTTCTAAATGCCGTATCTCCTCCACTACTGAATTTCAAGATCTGTTCTTGAGGACAGAGTCTTTGATCTATAGTTCTATTGCATTGTTCATGCTACTAATGGCTTTAAGAATAATAAAATGATCTTTTATTGAGGCTTTATGAGGTGCTCAATACCGTGTTAAAATACTCACCAGGCATTATTAAATGTTCTAGTACTCAATGAATATTTGGCATTTAAAAACTCCAAAAGATTGTATGTAGAAACACAAGTAAGAAAAACAAACAAAACAGATAAGACTACATTGAGTTTTTATTATAACTTAATAGTAAGGGCCAAGAGAAAAACTAAAAATAGTGATTTTTCAGGATTGTTTTTACAGACTTAATAAATGAGGGCCAATTAGGAACAAGAGGTATTGATTAGAGAGTTATTTTCTGGTTTAAGTATACGGAGTGAGAACAGAAAATTTTAGAGGGCATTATAATCCCTATAAATCATTTTAAAAATTCTGAAAAAAGACAGTTTCTGAATTAAAGTACCAATGTTGAACACCCTGATTAATAAAATATAAAGCAACACCATATATTACAGCGGTTACTCATTAGCATGGAGATCTGTAAATTAATAATCTTCAATTCTTTGGCATCTAATCCTACAAAACATCCTTGGTCTTTACAAAATGAACTCTGAATACAACTTCTGCATCTCAACAAGGGCAAATGATAATAAGAATAGTTATATACTTTTCCTATATCTATAAAACCTTTCCTCTAAGAAATGGATAGATGATACTATAAAATCAGTTCAAAAAAATAAGTTCTCATTTATGACATAAATGATTGTTTACCCCAACATCTAATTCTTACTCTCTTCTTACTTAACCAGATTTACCTGTGACAAATGACATCGCTTTATGAACAACATGAGCCCTACTTTAACTAAGTAGATCACTGGACTAGAAATAGAGATTCCTGTGCTGTATTTCTAGCTCTGAGTAGTTCTGTGACCTTAGGCAACCTTCTCAGCAAGAATCTCAAATCATCATAATCAAAACTAAAATGTCATTTTCCAAATACAGTATGTATTACATAAGAGCTGTTATAGGATTATCTTCCTTTATATAAACAATATGAATTACTCCAAATAAAAGTAAAATAGCATAAAATTATTTTTATATTAATGTCATATTTAATAACTTGTAATGATTTAGCTTTAATTGGATAAGATTGTAAGCTCAAAAAGAATAGAGTTTTGATTATCATTTAAAGTTTGTAATTCTTATAAAGATGTGTAGTGGTTTTCATGTGTGTATATATAATTCATTTACACTCAGCTAAATGATCACAATTATCTTAAATATTGGAAGCAAGAGGATTCACTGGTCTTGTAGCTGTTATTAGTCTAGGTGACTCTAAGAAGTACTGTGGGGCTGGGCGCCTGGGTGGCTCAGTCCATTAAGCGTCTGCCTTCGGCTCAGGTCATGATCCCAGGGTCCTGGGATCGAGTCCCATATCGGGCTCCCTGCTTGGCGGGGAGCCTGCTTCTTCCTCTCCCTCTGCCTGCTCCTCTGCCTACTTGTGCTCTCTATCTCTCTGTCAAATAAATAAATAAAATCTTTAAAAAAAAAAGAAGTATTGGGGGGCAATTGAGAAGAACAGGCATTGGAATCACAAATCCTGTATTGCCTCTACAGGGTACTGTTGCATGACCGTGGTCAAGTCACATCTCTAGCCTTCAGGAAATGAGGATAATCATTCTATCTCATTTTGTTTTGTTCTCTTTTAGGAGGGCTGAGTGAGTTAATGGATGTAAATTTGTCCAGGACCTGATGCACCTGAGGTGCTCAAAAAGTGTCAAGTTTTATACTATTTCTTTCTTTTTTTTTTTTTAAGATTTTATTTATTTATTTGACAGAGACAGTGAGAGCAGGAACACAAGCAGGGGGAGTGGGAGAGGGAGAAGCAGGCTTCCCGCTGAGCAGGGAGCCCGATGTGGGACTCAATCCCAGGACCCTGGGATCATGACCTGAGCCGAAGGCAGACGCTTAATGACTGAGCCACCCAGGCGCCCAAGTTTTATACTATTTCAAGAAATTCTGTGAGATCCTTGATCTTTTTGTTGCTATATATACGTAATATTTATATTTATATAAATGTATGTAAATTTATATAATTTCTATATAAATACAAATTTATATAACTACAAATAATTATATACATATAATTAAAATATCTCCCCATTTCTTGAGATAGCTAGAGGGATTCCTACACCTAGAAGTCAAAAGAGCCTCCCTACATATTATGCCATTACTTAATGAAGTTCTAAATTGTCGATGGATTTTACTTTCCACCATGGATGTTAGATCAGCAGTGTTGTGTGAACTCTCTTTAGGTTCACCTGGGCCGTTTATTATTCTTTATCTAATTTCATCAAATACATGGAGAATGTATCCTTTGGGGTGAGGCCATTTATTTGCTCTAAAAGATAAGATAAAAAATTCAAAATGAAACAAATTGCCCTCATTTCCTATTTTCTTGGCCATTGAGGAAAGAAGAAAGCTTATTTGCTGAGGTCTTTTTTATTCGTAGCTCACATTTCATCTCCTCTTCCGTTTCCACAGATGATGGAATTAAAAAAAAAGAAAGAAAAAGAGAGCAGCGCAGGGTTTAGCTAGGGCTGTCTTCCATGCCTCATCTTTGAAAAAAATTACTGGGAGGCAGCATGATTCATTACCACTGTCTCGAGTGCTCCTAAGACACAGAACTTCTGCCAACACTGGAATACATGCTTATATTAAAAGAATTTAACATTCCCTAGAGCACAGGTAAACAATCAATGGCCCAAGGAAACCTACCAAATGACATTGAGGGCCAAACTGAGAAGTAATGAATATATATTTTTGATATACTGGATCCTGTCCTCCCTCAAGTCACTCAGTCCTGCTTTATACCTCTCCTGACTCCCTTCAGGCTGCCGCTAACAAGTGAAATTGAAAATTCTTCTAATAGCTGAGTATGGTTTGAAGTAAATGGAGTCTGCTTATAAATAGAGCAGTTCCAGTATTTTATACCCACAGTCTCTGAAATGAATAAATACTTTAAAGGAAAGATGAACCTATAGAAAAGAAAGGAAAATCCCAGTCTTTGTGAAAAACTTCTATCAAACAATACTAAAATAATTACCAAGTACATCTAGTGCTGGTTGTTAAGTTACTGTCTCTTGGCTCCAAACCACGCTCCGTACTCTGCTTTGTGACACTGGATCTGGGACTCTGAAGACCACACATCTGCTTTTTTCAGCTGATTCCTGGAGGCAGTAGGGGGAGACTACGAGGCAGGAGGAGGAAGAGAGACGTGCTTCTTCCTGTTTCCCGTTCCCGTGAGCATCACGCCATTAATGCTTCTTCACCTTGGAAGCGGCAGTTGCTTCCCATGGCTGCAGCCAATGCTTCGCAGTCTTGCTGACATTTACAGAACCAGCCTCTCAGCTCACCCACCCCCTCCACCACAAAGCATCAGCACCGCTGAGCAGCTGAAGTCTGAGTTTCAGTTTTGCAGGACCTGTCCTCTGAGTTCCTAAGTTTCTGTAATTCTAATGTCTTTGTTCTCTCAATCCTACGAGCGGCTGCTTCCTACAGTTGTCACCTCCTTGATGACTAGAATTAACTTTTTGTGAAAGATTTATTTCTTTATTTTGGAGAGAGAGACAGGGGGGGCCACAGAGGAAGAGGGAGAGAGAATCTCAAGCAGACTTCCCACTGAGCATGGAGTCCAACACGGGGATAAGTCCCATGACCCCGAGATCATGGCCTGAGGCCAGATCAAGAGTCCAATGCTTAACCGACTGAGCCACCCAGGTGCCTCTAGAATTCACTTTTTACCCTTTCGGTTACCTGGTTAACAAATTTATACTCAGTTAACAATTCTTCAAATTCTCTCTGTTTAGCTATCAAGTGTGATTTCTGTTCTTGTCTGGATCTTGACTAATATACAATTTAACATATATAAAGTGGTAGTATATAAACTGAGTACACTGAGATTGTTTTAAAACAAAACTCTATGGGGGCGCCTGGGTGGCTCAGTCAGTTAAGCAACTGACTCTTGATTTTGGCTTAGGTCATGATCTCAGGGTCGTGAGATCAAGCCCCGTGTAGAGCTCTGTGCTCAGCAAGGAGTCTGCTTGAGATTCTCTCTCTCCCTCTGCCCCTCTCCCCGTTTGTGCATTCTCTCTCTCTCTCTCTCTCTCTCTCTCAATCTCAAAATAAATAAATAAATAAATCTTTAAAATAAAACTGTATGTAAAATTGAGGCAGGGAAAAAGTTAAAATGAATGTGTAATTGTCAGAGGTTGTAAGATGGAGTGAGGAGAAAAGAGTAAAGTAAAGGAAGGGAGAGCTAATAATTCTTTTTACAACGTGGAAAGACAGGAAATACTGTCCATGGTAGATACAGTAACAGAAGTATGAGAATAATTTGAAGTCACCAAGGTGACCCGTGGCAGAACTAGGATCAGTGACATACGACAACAAAATGAAGAGAAGACAAAAAGAAGATACAGTGGAAGCAAATTAAATTATGTTATAACATAGCAGGATGATGTTTAGGGATGACAAATTGAAAAGTAATAGACTAAGCCCATTATTTACCTATATAAAGATGAACCCAAAAACATTAGAAACAAACAATTAAAGTGTTTATCTCTGAGAGACAATACTGGAGATGGGCAGGAGCTGGACAAAGGATAGTTGTCTTTCCCATAAGTATTTCCATTCTATTTTAAATATTTTGTAATTTGTTCAAATTTACATTTTAAAAATACAAGGAAAGGGACTTTCACTTGTGCAATAATGCAGTATACTACTTTTCCCTATTTCTTCCACTAATTACAATTAAAAACCCTGAACATATTTAAAACAAACCTAAGAAAGCTCTAGAAGGTGGGGAGAAGAAGGTAGATTGGCTAGGAACCTCAGGACCCAAGAAACAACACACTGATGAGATCCCTGGGCTTATTTTCTGCCTCGTATATCCCAGCCATAAAAGTGAAGAAGTCAGCAACTAGGAAACATCAACAAGCACAGACTAAAAAGCCCCAAAGTCTGCCCTTTCTAGTCAAAGAATCAGGAAAGGGTCACCTAGCTAGGCAGAAAATTTATAGACAATAGCTGCTCTTCTCCAGCCAAACACAACAGAAAATGCTGTGCCCTACCCCTACCCAGGCCGGCAAAGGAAGCTCAGCTTCCATGCTCACGGTGTCAGTGGAGAAGGCATGGGGGATCTGCACTTCCACCCCAGCCCAGCAGTCATGAAGCCCCCTTCCTCTTCCCCGCTGGGGTGGTTACCAGCGGATGCCCAGCGAAGAGTCAGGACTTCCACCACCAAGCGGAGATAATGAGGACACCCTCCACACAGCCACCCACCCTATGGTGTCGATTGAAGCTACCTAGAGAGCATTAGAATGGCACTGAGGGTTCTCTCCTGGCCAAAGTCTTATTGCGCTTTTTCAGACCTGATCATGGGAAATTATCAATGCCTTACCTGGCAGGCCTCAGCAGGGAAAGCTGCCCTCCCCCACACCAAACTTGGTGCACAGTCAATGCACTGCAGACTCTAAAGGGAGTCAAGGACTCGGGCCCACCTGACTGGTCTTGTTCTTACGCTTTGCTGCACCCTTAGCCCAGGTGCCTCCAATTGGAAGTTTTCTTCCTTAGGGAACCTGAGGACATTTCCTCTACTCTGACTCAGGACACAGTACTTTTCTACCCTTAATTCTTTTCCCCCCTCCTTCCTCCTGACCCTTGGATCCTTAAAATAGTAGTAGCCTTTTCTTCTGAGATTATATGCAGACCCCCAAATCTGTACTGATCTGGCCTGGCCCTCAACTGGCTCCCCATTCCATGGGGTAAAGCAGAAAAGGGGGGAGCCAACTATCTTACCAGTTTAGACTTTTGCTTAGACTATCACAGTAAATGATTAAAGGTTTGACTGTTATTTTATTTGGCTTGTTGTTTTAATGGACTCCTCCGATACCTAGCAGCCAACCTCCCTTGGCTTAGCAAGTAGCCCTTCCATGAGTGAGATCTCACTGAAGGCCTAGTAAGGAGCCAGAACTTCCATATCCACCTGGCAGTAACAAGGTAGTGTCCCCTTCCCTTGCTGGACTGGAATTAGACAACGCCAACTAGAACGGGTTTAAATAAAATCCAGAGTCTTATAGCATTAACACCCAAAATGTCCAAGTTTCCATCAAAAATCACTCATCGTACCAAGAATCAGGAAGATCTCAAACTGAAAGGAAAAAAAAAAGTTCAGAGAAAATAGAATTACCTGACAAAACAGTCATTGTAAAAACTTTTACTTTACCAAGTACATCCCCACCAGCAGTGCATGAGAGTTCCTTTTACTTTACATCCTCACCAACATTTATTTCTTCTCTTTTTTGATTTCAGCCATCCCAACCGGTATGAGGTGATATCTCATTGTGGTTTGGGTTTGCAGTTCCCTGATGATCAATGAGGTAAAGCAGTCATTGCAGAAATTTTCTACAAGCGATTATGAACAGACTTGACACAAATTTTAAAAAGAGAAAATCTCAGCATAGAAATCAAAAAAGTCTCATGAAAGAAATGCACAATATAAAGAAAAATCAAACGAAAAGTTTAGAATTTTTTTTAAATTTTATTATGTTATGTTAATCACCATACATTACATCATTAGTTTTTGATGTAGTGTCCCATTGTTTGCATATAACACCTAGTGCTCCATTCAATATGTGCCCTCTTTAATACCCATTACCAGGCTAACCCATTCCCCTACGCCCCTCCCTTCTAGAACCCTCAGTTTGTTTTTCAGAGTCCCCATAGTCCCTCATGGTTCGTCTCCCCCTCCGATTTCCCCCCTTTCGTTTTTCCCTTCCCACTATCTTCTCTCTCTCTCTTTTTTAACATATAATATATTATTTGTTTCAGAGATACAGGTCTGCGATTCAACAGTCTTACACAATTCAGAGCACTCACCATAGCACATACCCTCCCCAATGTCTATAACCCAGCTACCCCATCCCTCCCACCCCCCAACACTCCAGCAACCCTCAGTTTCCTGAGATTAAGAATCCCTCATATCGGTGAGATGATATGAAACATGTCTTTCTCTGATGGACTTATTTCGCTCAGCATAATACCCTCCAGTTCCATCCATGTCATTGCAAATGGCAATATTTCTTTTTTTATGGCTGCATAATATTCCATCAATGCTCAGAAATCAGTTGCATTTGTATACACCAACAACAAGACAGAAGAAAGAGAAATTAAGGAATCAATCCCATTTACAATTGCACCCAAAATCATAAGATACCTAGGAATAAATCTAACCAAAGAGGCAAAGAATCTGTACTCAGAAAACTATAAAATACTCATGAAAGAAATTAAGGAAGACACAAAGAAATGGAAAAACGTTCCATGCTCATGGATTGGAAGAACAAATATTGTGAAAATGTCAATGCTACCTAGAGCAATCTACACATTCAATGCAATCCCTATCAAAATACCATCCACTTTTTTCAAAGAAATGGAACAAATAATCCTAAAATTGGTATGGAACCAGAAAAGACCCCAAATAGCCAGAGGAATGTTGAAAAGTTGAGAATTTAAAAATAATAATAAATAAAAAGCTCAGTGGGTGGATTCAACAGCAGAACAGAGGAAACTGAATCAGTGAACTAGAACGTAAGACAATAGAAATTATTCATTCTGAACAACAGAGAGAAAATACACTGAAATCAAAAGTGTATAGATCCTGATTATGAGATAATCACAAAAGTTCTAACATTTTTGTTATCAGGGTCCCAGAAAGAGGAGAAACCTGGTGGGACTGAAAAAGGCCTTGAAGAAATAACACCTGAAAATTTCCCAAATTTGACAAAAGACATAAACCAACAGATTCATGAAGCTGAGAGAATTCCAAACAGTATAAACCAAAGAAATACACAGCAACACACATCATAGTCAAACTTCTGAAAATTAAAGACAAAGGAAAACTTTTAAAAACAGCAAGAGATAATCACACGTGTACTACTCTGATGCAGAATACTGAAACTGAGGGAGGCTCTGTCTCTAAGTACGGGGTATATGGGAATAAGGAGTATATGGGACCTCTGTACCTTTTTTTTTTTTTTAAGATTTTTTACTTACTTGAAAGAGAGCACAAGCAGGGGGAGGGTCAGAGAGAGAGAAGCAGACTCTCTGCTGAGCATGGAGCCAACGTGGAGCTCCATCTCAGGACCCTGAGATCATGACCTGAGCCAAAATCAAGAATCAGATGCTTAACCAACTGAGACACCCAGGAGATCAAGTGTCCCTACACTCTTTGCTCAGTTTTGCTGTGAACCTAAAACTGATCTTTTTTTTTTAAGATTTTTATTTATTTATTTGACAGAGAGAGATTCAGCGAGAGAGGGAACAGAAGCAGGGGGAGTGGGAGAGGGAAAAGCAGGTTTCCCTCAGAGTAGGGAGCCCGATATGGGGCTCGATCCCAGGACCCTCGGATCATGACCTGAGCCGAAGGCAGATGCTTAACGGACTGAGCCACCCAGACACCGCCCTAAAACTGATCTTAAAAATAAAGTGTATTTTAAAAGTGAGAGAAAAATGCCACCTTACCTATAAGGGTAAACAATTTGAATGAGAATGGATTCTTCATTGGAAAAAAAACAACAACAACAACATAAAGTCAGAAGGCAGTGGAATAATATTTTTTACATGCTAGAAAAAAAAAAGAACTGCTGATCCAGAATTCTATATCCAGTGAAAATACCCTCTAAAAGTGAAAGGAAAGCAAGATGTTTTCAGATGAAGAAAACCAGAATTTGTTGCCAGCAAACCTACCCTAAAAGAATGGCTTAAAAAAATTCTCTAAAAAGAAAGAAAACAATTAAAAATTATTCTTGTAATATCAGGAAGAAAGAAAGAAAACATATAAGCCAATACAACGGATTTTCCTTCTCTTGGGTTTTCTGAATTATGTTTGAAGTTTGAAGCAAAAATATAACATTGTCTAGTGTTTCTAAACAAGGAGAGTAAAGGGATATAAAGTCTAGTAAAGTTTCTATACCTCACTCAAACTAGCAAAAGGACAACATCAGTAAACTGTGATAAGTTTTGGGGCACCTGGGTGGCTCAGTCAGTTGAGGCATCAGTTTCTTGACTTCAGCTCATGTCGTGATCTCAAGATCGTGAGATCGAACCCTGGCTGTGCCTGGGCTCTGCGTTCTGCCCCGGAGTCTGCTTGAGTTTCTCTCCTTCTGCCCCTCCCCCGGCTTGTGCGCGTGCACTCTCTCTCTCTTTCTAAAATGAATAAATCTACAAATTAATTAATTAAGGACCTAGAAGATATAAATAGGAAATCTCACAATATGCCCTCAAAAAAACAAAACTTAGGGACTGAGAGACTGATTTTCCACAAATGCTTGATTTATAGAAAACTGATAATGTTGGAATGTTCTTAAATGCCAGGGAGTTGGTCAAGGTTACCTCATATCAACCTTGGGAAATTTTTGCTTATGATTTCCAGAGACATGAGCAAGAAATGACCCAGGTTGGGTTGATCTCACAAAATAAGCTGAATTAAGCTTTATTTGTATGACTGGACTGGTTTTGCCTACTTGGGGAATTTTCAAATCTGGTCTCCATTTGTTTTTGATTTTCACAGACTCTCACTGAACTCTCTCCTCCTCATATTCTCTGCCCATAAATACAACCGACCCCAAACCCTCAATGGACTCACCTGTAATTTAATAGTTTGTGTGCCCCGAATTACAAGTCCTGTTATTCCCAAATAAACTCATCTTTTTTGACAATTTTGAGATTGCCTTGGTTTACTTCTTTTTAGGTCAACAAGGGGATATCACTACAGATCCTAAAGACATCAAAAAGACAATAGGGATTACTAGAACAGCTTATACACATAAATTTGAAAACTTAGATAAAATGAACCAATTCAAAAAAAAAGAACCCACAAACTACCATAACTCACCCAGTATGAAATGGATCACTTGAATATCCTTATAACCATTAAAGAAATTGAACTCATAATTTTAAAACTCTCAAAAAAGAAATCTCCAGGCCAGATGGCTTCACTGGAGAATTTTACCAAACATTTAAAAAATTAACACTAATTCTGTGTAACCTCTTCCAGAAAGGAGCAGAGCAAGGAACATTTCCCAACTCATTTTATAAAGCTAGTATTACCCTGATACCAACAGCAGCCACACACAGTACAAAAATGAAAAAAAGAAGAAGAAAGAAAGCTATAAACCCATATTTGCAGACCACATATGCAACAAAGGACTAGTACCTAAAACATAAAAACAACTCTCAGAATTCAACAGTAAAAAAATAAACAATCCAATTAGAAAATTGGCAAAAGATATGAAGAGACATTTTACTAGGGCAATAAGCACATGAAAAGATGTTCAACCTGATTAGCAATCAGGGCATTGCAATTAAAATCACAGTGAGGTATCACTCCATACCTACCAGAATGGCTACAATAAAAAATCGTGACACTAAATGTTAGCAAAGATGTGGAGAAACTGGATCACTCACTGACTGTGGTAGAAATATAAAATGGTACACCCACTCTGGAAAGCAGATTGGCAGTTTCTTAAAGAGCTAAACATGCAATTACTACACAACCCAGCAATTGCACTCCTAGGCATTTATCCCAGAGAAATGAAGACTATGCTCACACAAAAACCTATACATGAATGTTTATAGCAGCTTTATTCATAATCGCCCCAAACTGGAAACAACCTAGATACCCATCACTGGGTAAATGAGAAAACAAACTGTAGTGTATGTGTATGGAATGGTGTTCTGTAATGAAAACACATGGATCTTGGATACATGCCATCATTTGGATAAATCATCAGATAATAATACTTTGGCGGGGGGTGGGGGAAGCCAATCCCAAAAACTTACATACTGATTCCATTTATATAACATTCTTGAAATGATAAAACTATAGAGATGGAGAGCAGATTAGTAGTTATCAGAAGTTTAAAGAGGAGACAGAGTGTAGGAGGGAAGTAGATGTGGCTATAAAAGGCAGCATGAAGGATCAGGTGGTGATAGAAATGTTCTGCATCTTGACTGTAGCTCTGTCAATCTCTCTTGGTTGTGGTGTGTACTATAGTTTTGCATGATAACCCCATGGGAGGAAACTGGGTAAAAGGTAAGCAAGATCTCTCTATTATGCCTTACAACGGCATGTCAGTCTACAATTACCCAAGATTAAAAATTTTAAACATTTTAATTTTTTTTTTAATGGCAAGGGAAAAGACCACAGTTCTCAGCCATTTGACATGAAAAGAAAATATGTGGAAAGAAGATGGCAGTTCCTTCAGGTCATGGACCATGATACCCAGCTTTGTCTCAAAATGTGGTTGTTTCACACTGTATTTCATAAGACATATTAACTCCCTAGCATCCAATTTTTTATGATCCACAGGGATTTGGTTTCCCTTACCAAATTTTGCAATTCTAATGCAAATTAAATTTAAGCTGATCCAACTGGGAGTTGCTAAACCCCATAAAAGCAATTACAGTCATAAAGAGATGCTGTAAAATTGATATTCGAACTCTTCAACCCACAACCTCCTCCCAGCCCTCCACCTCCTTCACACACACAAACAAAGTGCTTTTCTTTTATGCATGTGCTGGGAGTGTATTCCAGGTAACCGTAGGCTGCATTAAAGTATTGATTTAAAATTCTCCTTCACTAAGTGTAAGTCAAGAACAAACCATCACCTTGACTTTCTGAATAACTACAGCATAAAACAGTTCATGAAACCAACATGCTGTGTTTTTGCATCTTTCATAATTTTTAGACACTGTCTTTTTGTATTCAGATGAGGATCCCAAAGCTCCTAACAGTTACCTAAAAAGACCGACACTTGGGAATTTACAGAGCTTTCCTTTTTATTGAAATTACTTCTTTTCCTTTTTTCCCCCAAGAAAAAATTTACTGTCTTGTAAATACCATGGCCATTGTTCCGCTACAAACTTGTATTTTTCTTTCTCCCCCAGGTGCAGAAAACTAAAGCTACAAGCAGAGAAAGATTATAGGAAGGAAAACAGGCTATTTCTGATCTGCCTTCCCAAGGTAAAGTGCCTGAACACAGATTCTCAATTGTTTAATGGGCTAATCTGAAATGTTTGGAATCTGAAATGTTTGGAAAACAAACAGGCAGAACAGGAAAACAGTTCATAGTCATTTGCCAGTCAAATCAGTTCCCTTCAATTTTACACTCTCTAATCCTTTTCCTAGCAATTCAGAGGTTTTTTTAGTGACTAAATTATTACAAACTTGTTTTTCTCTTTGTGGATAGCTTGGTTAAAATAAGATTATGAAAAGGGACACTGTCTTCTTGTGACCAGATTATGGAGAACTGTTACCAATAATCAAATTACCTAAATGTTAAAAATACTCTTGCTCCCTTAAAATTCTGCTCCCATCTAAAATCAATCTGAGATATGAGTAGATAAAATTTATACCAATCAGCTCCAATAAATTATAACCTACACTAGATACCTGTTTTCTTCAAGTTATTGATTTGAAAAGCTATAACATGCACCCAATTATCTCTATATCTCTAGTACTTAACAGGATAGTATAATAAA